CTCAGCCACCCAGGCACAGAGGGCGCAAGTGGGGTTAATTCAGACTTCCAGAGAAGTGGATGCTTCATTTGAGCCTATTCACGAACATTTCTAAAGGTGAGATTTTAAAGCTTGCTCTCTGGTGTGTGTGTGTGTGTGTGTGTGTGTGTGTGTGTGTGTGTGTGTGTGTGTGTGTGTGTGTGTGTGTGTTGATGCTGACAGAATGTCAGTCACAGAATCATAATGGCTGAAACAGAAACAGAAAATAACTCCTTAGATGAGGACCCGTGAGGATGCCAGCCTCGATGGGAACCTTGCCCTCCATTTACAAGAATGGCCTTGAGTAACTGGCCTTCGTGACCAATGCCTGTAATCCCAGAACCCAAGAGGCTGATGTGGAAGGTCACGAGTTCAAGGCAGCAAGACTTTGTCTCCAAATAATTAAGTGAACACAAGGAGAGGGTTTTTTTGTTGGTGGTGTTTTGTTTTGTTTTGGACAATTTTGGCTGTTTAACTCCTGAACAAACAAGTAACTTTGGCCTAATTTACAAAAGAAAAGCCAACAGCACACAAATACACCTTTATCTGGCTCCAAAGTCCAGCAAGTGCATGCTTTTATCATGCCTTCAGCATACCTCACTTTGGCGACGGTTCATCACCACAGTTAGAAAGGCTAGCAGGCTTAGACACCCAAGGAACGATTTAAACCTGCATCATTGTCGATTCTTTTTTTTTTTTTTTTAAATTTATTTTTTTTATTTTTTTATTATTTATTCTTTTTAAAGATTCATTTATTTATTTTGTATACAGCATGTATGACTACAGGTCAGAAGAGGGCGCCAGATCTCATTACAGACGGTTGTGAGCTACCATGTGGTTGCTGGGAATTGAACTCAGGACCTCTGGAAGAGCAGTCAGTGCTCTTAACCTCTGAGCCATCTCTCCAGCCCCATTGTCGATTCTTATGTCCAAATTCCGGACATGTCTCTACACTGTACCTTTGCAGAAAAGTCAAACACTGAGTTTACTAGCAACCTAGACCACTGCACAAAGGGACATACTAAGAAGGGAGCGTGGTGGCGGTGGTGGTGGCGGCGGCGGCATTAAAACTATCAAACAGATCTAAAGCAGCCAAACCATAATTCCACTACCATCAGCACATTCCAAGCAATTTCACAATTGTTCTTCCTTTGAGGTGCTGTATCACTCTGCTGCCCATAAACTTACTACGTAGGCCAGGCTGGTCTCCAAGATGACTCATCTACCCATCTCAGCCTCCCAAATGCTGGGGTTGCATACCTGAGCCACCATGCCCAACTCAGAACTTTTCAAAGAGGAAGTCTTACTATAGAACATGCAGATATGAACTATTCCATGCCTTTTGCTAGAGTGCATGTATACCATGGACCCACTTTAAAAGAGTTTTGTAGCAGAATCAAGGTCGTGCAGGAGACAGGAATCACACTAATTTTTAATTAATATTAAAAATTTTTAATTATTCTTTGACAATTACATGTATAATGTATTGATGACTCTCACCCATCAAAGCCCCCCACAAGTCCCATTCTCACAGCCATGGGTTTTTTGTTTGTTTAGTTTTGTTCTGTGACCCACTGAGTTTAACCAGGGCCATTCACATAAGATGGGTGGGAGCTATCTAATGACTACATTAACTGAAGACAATTCCTCCTTCATCAGCATCCATCAGTTGTTTCCCAAGGAGGGGCAGGGCCCTGAGAGCCTCATAAACAAGAAATTGTTAATAATCATCAGCTAGAAGCTGGCCAACTAAAACAGTAAGACGAAAAAAAGACACCCAAGCAGCAGGCGCTTTAAAAAGTGCTAGGCGCTGCGGAAAAGGTTTCCTTTTAAAGCAGGGCACCAGAGATGGGGAGGCTCAGCCCTGCGACTACACTCGCCATTTGTTTCCACCACAACGAAGAACTTGCTGGAGGGCATGGGCCAGAGTGGCAGAATTGGATCTGCCCACAGTAGCTCAGAGGCAGCTCAGCTCCCCTGCTTAGAGCTAGGTTCCCTTACGGGATAGTGCCCTCTCCTGATGAAGCCTCCCTGCTTACAGCCAGGCTCCCATGCAGAGCTCCAGTGCCCTCTCCTGATGAAGCCTCCCTGCTTACAGCCAGGCTCCCATGTGGGAGCTCCAGTGCCCTCTGGTGACGAAGCCTAGCGTTTGCCAGCAAAGAGGACGTCTAGAGCAGCCAGCTCTGGCGGAGTGTGGAGCTTGGAGCTAAGCTGAAATGTGCCAGTTCCCTGCTGAGAACAGCTCCCATGCATAAGGGCACCATCTAAGACAGAGGCTGCCAGCTACGTGTGGAGGCCGAGTAGTCTGAATTGAAATGTGATAAACGTAAAAACATGTAAAGTCTTAAAGAGCCAAAAAGCAATGAAAATATCCCACTGATTTGTTTTATCAATCCATACTCAGACAGTATTTTGGGAAAAGTTAAATATGAATTTTACTTTTTAAAATGGGAACACTGAAACCACACTTGTGGCTTGCTGCTGTGGAATAATCCTTTTGTACACTGTGAAGATTTGTCACTCGGACTGGTTTAATGAAAAGCTGGTTGGCCACTAGCCAGGCAGGGATTATCAACCAAACTAGGAGAATAATGGGAAGAAGGGCGGAGTCAGGGGCGACACCAGCCAGCCACCAAGGAAGCAGGGCATGTAGAAAATGAGGTAGCAAGCCATGAGCCATGTGACAAAGCATAGATAAGAAATATGGGTGAAGTGTAAGAGTTACCTGGTAACAAGCCTGAGCTATCGGCTGAGCATTTATAATTGAGCCTCTGAGTGATTGAGAGCAGCTTTGAGACAAGAAAACTCCACCTACAGCTCATAGCCTAGGTACACACTCCAGGCTGCAGGAACACCTGGAACTTGGAATAGAAAACATTTCTAATATCCAGCAAGCACCATTCAGTGAAATGGCTGCTCCTGCTGTACTCTCCTCCCCAGGTTTACCAACTTTAATTCCATGACATTTGGGTGCTGCCAGCACCACTGACGGGGGTCCCCCAGTCCTCCTCACCTGTCATTGAAATCACCAGCCCTGACACTTGAGTTTGCCCAGCAACTTCCTATTTTAAGACAAGAGACTGAAACGCTTTGTTTCTGAAATGGACTTAAGAATGTCTAGCAATTTAAAAATTCGGTTCATAAAGAAACACATTAGCCTAAATACAGGGCAACTTCACAACAGGAGCAGCAATACCACCATTCAATTGATAGGAACAACATAAATTCCCATTGACAAAGTGGGAAGAACTGTAGGAACAACTCTGTTAGAAACATAAAGCACAATTCTCAATGAATTTCTTTGTAAGGCAGGCTCTCTTGTAGCAAGTTTGGCCTTGAATTCTTGCAGCCAAGGATAACCATGAAATTTCTGATCCTCCCGCCTCCAACCTCAGATTGATGATTACAGGCATGCACCACCACGAGAGGTTTATATAATACTGGAGATCAACCCTAGGGCTTTGTGTACACTAAGCAAGTACTCTTAATCAACTCAGCCCCAGCCCAAGAAGCAACTTATTATGCATAGAATGTTCTGCCTGCATCCCTGCAGGCCAGAAGAGGGCACCAGATCTCATTACAGATGGTTGTAAACCGTTATGTGGCTGCTGGGAATTGAACTCAGGTCCTCTAGAAGAACGCCCGGTGCTCTTAACCTCTGAGCCATCTCTCCAGCACCAAGAAGCAACTTTTAAAAATAAATTTAAATGTCGGGGAAGGGCACACCCACACTGGTGGGTAGGTATGTGAATGGAAGCCAACACCACCCACCCTCCTTTGAGACAGGCCTTCTCACTGGACTAGAGTGCTCCAATTAGGCTGGGCTGGTTGGCCTGCAAGCCCCAGGGTCCTCCTGTCTCCACCTCCTCACTGCTGGGATTTTCCATGCATTCTGTTGACCTAACCCTGATCCTCACACAAGGCAAGCACTTTACTAATAGAACTATACCCCCATCCCAATAATCAACATTTAAACTAGCCTATATTAATTACACATAACTGGTTTCATTGACATCCATGTACATCATTTCAGTCATTCACCCCCTTGTTACCTTCCCTAGCCCACCCCCACTCCTAATGCCCTTCTGCCCAACCACCCTTTCCTCCAACCCTACCCCGAGTGTGTCTCACTAGGGCTATTTACAGGAGCATGGTGTGTTATAATGTCTATACCACTAGAGTTCCACTCCTATGAACTACGCAAATGTCTCTCCCTTCCTCATTGACTATGCCTGAGTCCTCAGGGAGGGAGGCCAATAAGCAACTTTTAACACTTCTAAGTTACTTACGAATTATATATTGCGTTTTTCAAGTAATCAACCAGCATATTTAAAGTCATATATAGATGATTATATTATTTTCTTCCAATAAGGAGTTCAACACTAATATCAAGTAACTTTATAAAATAAAAAGCCTGGAGATATGACTCAGTGCTTAAGAATGGTTAAGCGGCTGCTTTTCCAGAGACCCTGAGATTGAATCCCGGTCACGTGGTGGCCCGCAAACATTTTAACTCCAGGCCCCGATGGCTGTGGTGACTTGAATGAGAGAGGCTCCCATAAGTTCCTGTATTTGAAGCTTGGTCCCCAATTGACACAACAGTTAGGGAAGGATAAGGAGGGGTGGCCCTGTGGGAGGTGTCACTGGGTTGGGCTTTCAGACTCCAAGAGCCAACACAATTTCCTGTCCGCTTGCTTACCCTCCTCCATCCCTGTCTCCCCTCTCTGTGCCTCAAGCTTGGGGGTCAGGCAGCGCGTGCTCCCACCATGATGGGGGACCGCGAGCCCCCAGTTAGACGCTTCCTTTCATAAGGTGCTGCGTTGGTTATGGTGTTGTGTCGTGGAATAACTGAAACGGGATCCAGCGCCCCCTTCTGGTCGTCCCCGGCACTGCATGCTCATGGGGCGCCTAGACAAAACACCCAAACATAAAAATTTCAAAAGAATTTCTCAGTAAAGAGTAGCTATGGAATTGTTACAAAGAAATGTCCAACAACAATTTTATTCCATATAAAACATTTCCCAAAAGAAATATTACTATTGTGTTTGAAACAAGTCAGGTGAAGTTGTGAATGTATTTGACAAAAATGCCTTTTTATTTCTTGGATGAATCCTTTGCATCCGACCAGTTCTTCTGAAGTCAAACTAGACAGGTGCCAGGTTTGAACGCCGACCTGCATTGCTGAAGTGTGCTTTTCACTGGATGCTGTCAGCACTGGTGACGGCAGGAAACTACTTTGTAATCAAGTACTGCAGAGTCCGTACATCACGAGCACGTGATTATGTTTCAATGAACCTTCAGCCATTTAATAAACTTAGTATCAGCACACTAAACTTCATACGATTTATTTTAAATGATTGCTGGTTCCAGATAATTAAAAACCACAAACTGTATGGCAGCAACTATAATACATACACAGTTTTTTTTTTTAAAGGAGTTCTTTCGTTATCACGTAACAGTGGAATATAATTTTTAAAAATACAAATGGCATTTATAGCATAAGGCTCTGTGGTAGAATCGGCAAATTAAAGATAAACATCAGAGAAAGGTTCTGAAAAGGGAGGCGTGTCCTGTTAGAACTGACTTCTTCCTTTCTAACAGTGACTGATTTACAGACACTAATAGGTCCAAGCAAAAAGTTTCTGGAACTCCTAGGAAATAATTAAATTGTAGTAGTAGTAACTAACAAGGTTAGACTATCATGGCAAGCTAACATTTAATCTGTTGGTACCCAATGGCTCATTTTTAGAGTTTATTACACTCAAAACAATATGGCAGAAATCTCAAAAGTTTACTCATTAAATATAGTTTAATTTTTTTCTTTTACAAATCTCCTTTTGAAAATGTAATTCATATATGCTGCAACTTCAGAAATTTGAATTCAAACTCAAGTATGAGGGCAGTAGCCGGGAAAGCCATATCCGGGTGCTCTGTCTGTTTTCTGTACAAGTCAGTACATGGCTCTCCTGTGATACAACATGAAAAGGTGATCCTAAACATATTCAAGTAAAGGCAGAAAATACATTGCTAGCTGAGGCAGATCATGCTAAAATATAATTCACAATGATTGGTTTGCACATTTAAGATGGTTAATAATAGTTTTAATCAATGAAATTAATATAAATTAGATTTGCAGCACTTTTACTGTCTCTTGTATGAAGCCTAAGATGCTTTGAAAAATAAGACTGGAAAAAGCAAATGACCCACCACTTTCTTTTCATGTTACCACCCAGTCATAGAATTGCAAACAAATCAACACAGCATCAGGATTCTTCACATTAAATGAGGACAAATGAACACAAAGTAGATAACAGGTGAACTGCCGGTTACCATCAACTCAAGCTTTTTAATAACATGAAGATTTACAAGCCAAAATAAACATCTGATTTAAAAACTGCTACTCAAGATAACTCGGTTGTCCTTTTGCACTTTGAGACTGGTAAGGACTGGATCTTTAAAAACCTGAAGGAGTTTGTCAGAGGAGAAAATCCTCTCTGCTTTAAAACAATTCAACTGGTTAGGATCCGCACAACTCCTGCGCTGGCTGGCATGGAAGCAGGTGTTCTGTCAGAGAAACAATCCATCTCCCCAGAAGCAGTTTCTTCCAGCCAGCTGCACACCGGTAGAAGTCTGCTTACCCATGATTGAAACTGCAGTGACCCTCCACAGAGCAGCTCGGGACACGTCACCCGAAAAGATCTTTCAGATCATTGCTAGCTGAACTGCTGCTGGTCATGGTGGTTGGTGGCTGTGCAAAGTTCTGGGGGTTGAAGAAAGGATTGCCCTGCATCCCAAAGGCAGCCTGGCCCATCACATTCACCTGTGAGCCCATGGCTGCGCTGCCCATACCCGAGGAACCTGGAGGAGGTACAAACTGATTCAGCCACTGATTTGGTTTCTGTTGGGAGAGCTGGTTCATGCTAACTTTGGGTTTCTGAGGGCCAAAGAGATTATTAAGGGCAGACATGTCGGCTGGTCTCTGGGGCGCCTGCTTCCCAGCAGCAGGAGCACTGCTCAAAGGGCTGTAGTTTGACAGAGTGGGCGGGGCTCCCAGAGTCATTGTGCTCACTCCAGCTGTGCTCACTCCAGCTGTGCTCGTACCACTGAAGAAGTTCTGGTTCGGATTGACCGGCATGCTGAACCCTGAAGTCTGAAAGCCCATGTTGGCATTTAGGCCATTTGTCAAATTTCTCTTTGTATTATCAATTGGTGTAGAAAACATCATGTTGAGGCCCGTGGAAGGAACAGACGTGAAGGTACTTGAAGCAGAAAGCTTCGGAGTGCTAACAGAAAGGCTGGTCAAAGAGGTCATGTTGTCCATCAGCGTATCTGTCAAGTCCTTAGTCTGAAAAATAGGAGTGAATTACTTTCCCTCCAAGACACACACAGGACTTTATTAGTAAGCACTGCACCGAGTACATGCTAGCTAGTGAGCACTGGACAGATGTGGTACATGGCAACTAGAGAGCATGGGCAGAGACCATGATAAAGGACGAATTACAGTTAAGCTGATGATCTACACCAAGTCAGTAAACTACCACCTGCACACCACGTAACGGCTCCCATTTATTTTTGTAGTTTTTGTAAGCAATACTGGCAATTGACTTGATGACAGCGATGGTAAGTTTAAACTACAATTATGTGAAATGCCCCCGGGCAGAACTGACTCTTTTCATTAAAACTGTAGCATAAAAAATAGAAAATTCTCCCGTTTATTTTGAAGAATTTCATCATTTTTCTCTATTCTATAGGTACTACTACAACTCTACCCAGTCCAGAATGATGCCATGGTACTCATCATCATACTTCACTTCCAGCCAGAATCTCAGACAATCTCACCCATGACTCTGAGACTGGCTACAGAATCGACAGATAGTCCAACTGAGACTTAACTATCTGAGCGTTCTTAAAGAACTCAGAGATACCATTGCCCCTGAACAGCAGGAAGCAATTCTAAGAAAATGACGCCCCCACTCCCCAAAGGTTTCATGTTTCTGAGGGTTATGGATAATGGTTATATGTATATGTGTATGTGTGTGTGTGTGTGTGTGTGTGTGTGTGTATACACACACACACACACACACACACACACACACGTGTATATATATACACATGCACACACACATACATACATACATACATATACATGTAGGGGGTGGAAGAAAACATTGGACTCGGTACTCCCCTAAAAAAGGGGGGTGGGGTGGATAGGTATAGTATATTAAGATAGATTATTGTATGTACTAGTAAACTAATCTAGTAAAATATCAGCTTTAGATAATTGCACTGCTATGGATTCTTGCATATTGATATAAATGTAAACTTTTTATATTCTTATTCCAGATAATTTGTATGTTGATACAAATACAGAAACATATTTGCTGTAATGTACATATATTTCTACTTTTATACGAAATGTTTTGTATATTGATACAAATGTAAAATTCTATTTGTCATGCTGTATGTATGTTCTACCTCTGTTTAGGATATTTGGTATATTGATACATATTTAGGATTATTGTCATATTGCATATTGTACCATACATTCCTACCTCTGTTTTACATATTTTGTGTATTGTCACAATTTTGAGGTCATTGTCCTTTGGCTGTACATTTGCTTACAGACTGTTTACCCTGTTTACATGAAGCCTTAGTCCTTAGGTTATCTAGGTAGATAAGACTTATAGATTTATAGTCACCTACGCTTGTCATCTCTATAGTTATGTTAGTTAGGTTCTCCAGACTTACAGAAACATATGTCAGATGGATAAGTAGTCTTCAAACACTTCATAGACCTGGAGAATATGGCATTTAAATGTTTTGATAACTTGGAATTCTTTTGATGTGAGACATGATCGCTCCTGGCAGCACTGATTTGATCAAGAGAGAATGTTGGGCTTCTGAGACATTTCTGTTTGGAAGTTTGTCTTCTTCTTGGCACAAAATGGCCTACTGGACAAAGACCTGCCCTTGCCTCGACTGTTGACGGTAAAATGGTCTGACAGATACTCTAGGCCTGTAGCCAATGTGAATGCACCAGAGATGCTGAGAAACTTTAGGTGACTGTCCAGGCTGCCAGCTATCTCTGTCTACTCTCGAAAGACTCCCAAAAGTTGCTTGCATCCTTCTCCCATTTCTCAGGTATTATTATATTCCTTCTCAGGTCTTTGATGGGATTGGAGACTAACAGTTATAGTTACAATCTTCTTGTATCTTAGAACATATTAAGTGTTAGATTTAGGTTCTTTAGGATATGACACCTTTTGAAATGATCTCTGTAACGTGCCATTTACCTATGCTCCAGACTTCTCTGGATTTTAGTATGTGTCTCTTGTTTGATATTGTTCGTGTTGGTTGTAGTTCCATCTTGTCTAGATCATTATCCCTTATTCCTCCTGGACAATATTGGATAATCATTCCTATTCTATATAGATTTGTATTAGGTAAGAACTTCTTTAGACAAAAGGGGGAGATGTAGTGGGTGGCTGTTCCAGCTTTGACCTAGAAGTACTACCCCCATTGAGGCTTTGGTAACTGTCCCGCCTAAAAGGCGGGGCTGAGACAAAAGCCCTGAAGACCTGAGATCCAGATGTGTCAGCTCTCTTTGGTTCCTGGTAATCCTGGATGTGGGAGGTAGACCAAGCTGATTCTCCAGCACTTCACCTCTCCCGGATTCTGTAACCTATCCCTTTACTTGTTGTAAGTAAAAACCCCAAGTAAACCTCCCTTTTAACCACGTGGAGTTACCTTAATACTTCCACCAATAATTCTCAATTTTGCCCCTTAGCCCACACACATTTTTTCATCTGGGGAAGAACTGTGATTAAGACATAGGGAGAACAGGTAGTAGTAAGTTAAAATACTTCCGAGCTACACCAGTGAGTGTAAACTCTGCAGGCAGGACCCGTCCCCAGGGCAGCAGCACCAGCGTCTGAACAGTGCCCAGAACAGAGGGAATCAATGTGGTCAGGTGATGGTGATGCTTCTTCCTAACCCAAAGCCAGTTAGAACAGAAAAGCCAGAAACAGGCAGGTTCTTCCAGCTGTGAAACACTTAAGGACGTGAATAGACTATTCCTGATAATGACACATTAGTCCACATCTTTTCTTACAAACCACCTATTCACCCCATTTCCTCGTTGGGAACAGCACCGAGACTAATCACTGCATTGGGGCGGGCAGGTTACTCAGGGAAGCCTGGGTCACACTCTTGAGTCACTACTTGATCATATCATCCTTTAAATGCATCTGTACAGACACAAGCTGCTCACCACTCTGCTCCTCACTACTAAGGATGCCTGAGACGACGCAGAGGAAACGCACCTGTTTGACGGGCGCCACGGGAGTGTGGAGTTGGGGCTTCAGCGGCTGCTGGCTTTTCAGCTTCTGGGCCTGCTCCTGTTCTTTTGCCAGTTTCTGTTTTTCTTCAAGTGTAAGTGATGCCTTAGAGCAAAGCAGAATAACAAAGTCAACCACACTTTATACTCCATCTGCAGAACGAGATTCCTAAAAAAGGAGCTAGACTCCAGTGCAGTAGCACACACCTTTAATCCCAGCACTCGGGAGGCAGAGGATCTCAGTGAGTTCAAGACCAGCCTATCTACAGAACGAGTTCTAGGACAGCCAAGCCCTCACAGAGAAACCCTGTCTCAAAAAGAGAGGAGCTAGAGGGATGGCTAAGCAGTTGGGAGACCTAAGTTTGGACTCCAGAACCAGTACAGCTAGACACAGCAGCATGCACCTGTGACCCCAGCCTGGCTACACAGCCGTGAACAAGAAAGCTCATCTTGTCTCAAGGCAGAAAGCAATCACTGACACCTGAGTTTCCTCTGACTGCCACATACACACAACAGGTAGGCAGGTATGCACATGCACGCATACGCGTGTACGTACACACACACACACACACACACACACACACACACACACACACACAAGCAAGTGAGACGGCTCAGCGGGTAAAGGAGGTTGCCACCAAGTCAGATGCTCTGGGTTCAATCCCTGGGTCTCCCATGGTGGAAAGGCAACAAATGACTTTCACAGTTGTTCGGACCACCATACCAATGCCCTGGCATGCATGCATGCATACATACATACACATACAAAATAAGTAAATACATAAATATAATACATTTAAGTAAAACATGAACTGGGGAGCTCAATGCTAGAGTACTTGCCTAGAATTTCCAAGGCCCTCAGTTCAATCTCAATACCACAAAAATTTGTAAGTAAATAAATGACTAAGGAAGCATTAAATAAACATGCTCCTTTGCTATGAATGTCTGCCTCGAGTTGTGTGTCTTTATACTCCCATTTTGCTAAACAGCAAGTTCAAAAGACTTTCTTTTACAGTTTTGCAAGTCTCTGTGTTGTCTATTGGCTCTATACACAGATAATTGTATTTTGTAAATAAATACAAGAATGAACTCAACAGTATTTTGATTTACTGGATATAAAGCATTATTTCAATAGGAAAGTATTACCTAATGGTTTACTGTTCAAAACCACAGGACAGTAAATCTTTAAAAAGGAAACAGAATAAAACCTGTACTCAGATTTTAGGTGCTTGCAAAGTAAAATTGTACCTAACTGAAATTTTTCTTTAAAATATCATTCCCCACTAATAATGCTTATCAACATTATATATCCTTAGTAAAATAAATCAAGAAGAGTCCCACATCATTTTTATAGGATTCTTGCCAAAAGTGTGTAGCCTGGGCTGGGGAAACGGCTCAGCAGGTAAGCATCCTTGCCATCAGGTCTGATAACCTGAGTTTGATACCTAGGACTCACACACAAGGAAAGAACTGACTTCTACAAGCTGACCTCTGATCTCCATGTGCACATCATGGCATGTGCATGCCCACACACACACACACACACAAAGTAAAAGACTAACTTCAGGTATAACCTTAGTCTAACTGTGAGAAGATATCAGGTAGTTCCATACTAAGCATCAGACTACCCAGTACCCGATGTTAGCCTCTGAATACGTCAGTGAAAGAGAGATGTGGTGGCTCCAGCCTCTGATGCCTGCACATAAAGGTGAAGGCAGGAAACCAGGAAGTCAAGGCTAGCCCCTGGCTACAGAGCAAGTTCAAGACTAGCCTGAGCAATATCAAAAACAAAATCCCAACTTGAACGAATATCTGAAGGCCATAAAAGTTAGGGATCACCATGGAATAGAAACCACAGAAAGGATAACAGCCTGGCACTCATACTGACAGCAGTAAGAAGAGACTTCGAACACTGAAAAGCTGGGGCTGGAGAGACGGCTCACTGGCTAGAAAGGGTCACCTGCTCTTCCAGAGGACCCAAGTTCAGCTCCCCACATCTGCGTCAGGCAGCTCACAGCTCCCTCTAATTCCAGCACCAGAGGATCCAATACCTGCCCTTGGCCTCTGTGGGCACCTGCACTCACATGTACAACCCTCCCACCACCACAAATACACACAATTAAAAAAAAATTGTAATTAGTGATAAGCAGTAATTCAGGAGGAGCAGACAGGCAGCAAACTGCAAGTGACGGCACCAGCCAGGCAGAGTCAAGCAATGGAGACAAGGCACCGTGCGTGTGTGTGTGTGTGTGTGTGTGTGTGTGTGTGTGTGTGTGCGCGCGCGCGCGCGCATGTAGTAGCAAAAGAACCCAAAACAGCTTACACACATTCCTTCCCAATACAGTTCCTAAAGAGTTAGACTACACGACATTTCCCAGAAAATATATATGGTTTATAGGAAGTCTCACAATAAAAATATATTTTTTAAAGTAGAGAAACTTACTCTTTTCTGTTTATTCTGCAGCCCATCTTCTTTATTTTCTGATTCACCACCAGTTAGAAGATCTGCTCCAATGTTGTTAAAGACCTTGTCAATCTGCTGAAATACAAGTTCAACACTTGAAGACACCCCAATAAATGTTATTTTATTCCTTAAAGATTAAGGACTCTTAAATGAGACACTCTCAAACATTTTCTGTAAAAATAAATGTCTTCTTACCTGACTTCCAACATGGGTAACGCTCGTCTCCTCGGAAGCGTTCATTTGATTTCCTATGTCCAAAGACCTACAAGATGGACAGAATTATGGAAAGGTAGTTAAAAGAAACTAACTTTATTCCTTAGCTCAGATTTTCCCACTATTTTCTATGGTTAGTCTGCTTGCAGAAATAATAACATGATGATGATAATAACATCTAGGTCCATGAAAGCCTTGTGACCTGAATTCAAGCCCCAGAGCCCATGTGAAAAAGCAGATGTGGTGGCATGCATCTGTAAATCCAGCAATCCTGCAGCAAGACATGGGGCAAAGACCAGAGAATCAACTGAGGCCCTAGGGCCAGCTATCCTGCAGAGCACAGCACAGCAGAAACGGAGACCCTGTGCAGGGCCCTGGCCCCCAGTTTGGGTACCTGTTGCCTTGCTTGCTGACCTTGACCTTGATGTCCTCCCTATGCTAATTCCCTGCCAGTTTCCACCCTCCTGAATGCTTAAGGGAAGTCCCTTGTTTGTGTATCTTGCATATTGAGCGTTAACGGCTTAGATGCAAGATTGTAAACATCAGTAGTGAACTTCTGCCCTCTGGGGTCCTCCCATTGTGCTATAAGCCTGTATTTAAGGTTTCCTCCCTTTCAATAAATGGCATTCTGCTGAGGCAAATGACCCGTTGTCTTTTGTCTCTGTTTTTTGATCCACAGCCCCTCGCTTGGACATGGTGAATGGGTGGTGGTAGTGCGGGCGTTATAGCTACAAATGGAGTCCCACTGAGATCCGAGAAAGAAGGGACAAGCTGATGGACACCCGGAGGTAAGGCTGGCCAGCAGTTTAAATAGAAAAAAGAGAAGGTGAATTGATACGGGTGCAGCTAGCTCACAGTCGCTCCTCGAGGGACAGTTAATTGGACTGCTGAGGCAACAAGGCACTGTCATTAAGAGCAAGACAGCTAAAGATTTCGTTCAGATCCTCCACAATGTTAGTCTCTGGATTCTGGTCTCCGAAGGATTTACTATACCAGACTGGGAACAGGTTAAGATTGACTTACAAAAATATTCGCATAAAGAAGGGCCTGATTCCATATCCTTAGCTACTTTCTCTTTGTGGCGCTTGGTTCAAGTTGCATTGCTTAGTGATGATATTAAAGTTCAAGAACAATTAACTAGAGCTAAAGCTGTGTTGGAGGAGTCTCAGATAGAGGAGGCTCTCAGATCCCTTCAAACTTCCAATGTTTCTGACTCTGCAGAGTCGTCTTCAGAGGGTGATGATGTAGAAGTCAGATTAGAAAAAGATACTAGATGCTTAAGAGGGAAATCACAGAAGAATTCTTACAAGGATAGACCTCCAGCCCGTAACCCTAACTTTTGCAACACGGAGGTCCTTCCTTCCGCACCCATAGAGGGGTTATTGAGGGGAGTTGCTTACCCAGTTATAGAGACTCAAAATGCTGACGGTCAGATTCAAAGGGAACACTATCCCCTAGATTTTAAAAGCATCAAACAGCTTAAGGAAGCTGTAATGTCATATGGGCCCCATGCTCCTTTTACCACAGCTACACTTGAATCTTTTTCTGCCTTAAATTGTACCCCTGGCTGTTTTGGATGTGGCCAGCAAGGTCATGCTGAAAAAAATTGTCCTCAAGCCCAAGCAGTGGCAAAGACACCAGGACTTTGCCCCTGAAGTCAAAAGGGCCGTCACTGGAGAAAGGAGTGCCGATCTAAGGTCGATGCTCAGGGAAATCCGTTACCACCTTTGGGAAACAGGCAGCGGGGTCTGCTCCAGAACCCCCACAGCCAGGTGTACGGAGCCCTGGAAACACCTGTCCCAACCTCAGTTTCCCACCATCCCATCCAGTTCATTCCTCGCGGAAATCCCTTTCTGTCCAAGACCTTATCAGAGCCACCCCTGGAAGCACAGGATTGGACCTCTGCTCCTCCACCAGAACAGTATTAACACCTCAGATGGGTCCCCAGGCTCTCAGTGCTGCAGTCATGGGTCCACTACCTGCAGGGTCTTTAGGCCTGATTCTGGGCAGGAGCAGTGCTCTTATGCAAGGTATTAGAGTAATTCCAGGAGTGATAGATGAAGACTCTAAAGATGAAATTAGAATCATGGTTGAGGCTGGCAAGGGGGTGACAATTATTTCCCAGGGTGCTTGCATAGCACAACTGCTTTTGATGCCTCACTTCCAAACTAATAATCCTTTTCTTAAACCACATAGAGGTGAGGGTGGATTTGGCTCTATGGGCCCTCTAGCCTGCTGGGTTTCCACCTTAGAACAAAGACCCATGCTAAATTTAAAAATTATTGATCCTAATTTTCAGGATCTTTTTAGATACTGGTGCTAACACTTCAGTTATCACTATAAAACATTGGCCCAAAGGTTGGATAAAGATTCCACCTCTAACCTACAAGGTATCGGCACAGCTCAGATGCCATTACAGAGCAGACTACTCTTAAATTGGAAGGATGAAGAAGGTCATGCAGGAACTTTTCAACCCTTTGTGCTACCTGACATTCCAGTGAACTTGTGGGGACAGGATGTGTTAGATAATATGGGAGTAGTGCTTACTACACAGCCTGTACAACAGATGCTGAAGAGTCAGGGCTACTGCCCAGGCAGAGGCTTAGGGAAAATGTTGCAAGGAGATCCACTACCTGTGGCAGACAAAAGCTGTGTTACTAGATGTTCTGGGGATACTAGAGAATTAGGGTCTTTTCCATAGGGGCCACTGTACAGCAGCCTTCCATAATACAACTAATAAAAATCACTTGGAAAAGTGATGACCCTATATGGGTGGAACAGTGGCCCCTTACTAAAGAAAAACAGGAGGCTGCAAACGTTTTAGTTAAGAAACAGATGCTGGACATATCACTCCTTCCACTTCACCTTGGAACACACCTATATTTGTTATTAAAAAGAAGACAGGAAAATGGAGGATATCACAGGATCTTAGAGCTGTAAATAAAACCATGCTTCTCGTGGGAGCAACACAGCCTGGCTTGCCTGCCCCTGTGGCAATTCCTAAACATTGGCATTTAATTGTGGCTGACTTGAGGAATTGTTTCACCATTCCTTTGCATCCCAAGGACAGTCTTCGATTTGCCTTTAGTGTTCCATCAGAAAATCTCAAAGAACCTTATCAGAGATATCAGTGGGTGGTCTTGCCCCAAGGAATGGCCAATAGCGCTACTACATGTCAAGTTTGTGTCTTTGGCCATAGCTCCAGTTTGAAAAGCTTTTCCAGATGTTCATATAATTCACTACATGGATGATATTTTATTGGCTGATAAACATAAAAAAACTTGTTTTTGATGCCTTTTCTAAATTACAAGAGGTTCTTAGCCTGGCTAATTTACAAATAGCCCCAGAAAAGGTACAGGTATCCTTTCCCTGTCATTATTTAGGTCATGAATTGTTTTGCACAGGCATATGTCCACAAAAGATTATTCTGCATACGGATCAGCTATGCACACTTAATGATTTCCAAACCTTTTTGGGAGATATTCAATGGCTTCAGTCCACTTTAAAGATTCCAACAGGTCAACTTTGTCCTTTGTATGATGTCTTAAAGGGCGACCCTGACCCTTCATCTCCCCGTGAATTAACAGCTGAAGTGCGTACAGCCCTACAATGTGTGCAAGAGGCCCTGGAGCAGGCTCACATGCAATATATAGATCTTTCTTCTCTCTTATTGAATTTGATACTTTGTTTTTCTCATTCACCTACTGGAGTGTTTTCGCAAACAGATCCTATTCTATGGGAATCCCCCATACATCCCCCAGCTTCTCCAGCTAAAATCATTACTCCATACCCTCAGGCTGTTGCTCAGATTATATTTAAGGGAATCAAGATTAGTGTTCAAACTTTTGGTAAGGAACCAGATATTGTGGTGACCCCATAAACTCAGTCTCAAATAGCATGGTTGCAAGCTAATGATAATGACTGGGCTATATTGACATGCTTCATGCAGGGTCAGTTTGACACTCACTACCCCTCCAATGATGTGTGTAAATTTTTTAAATTGCATCCCGTTGTTATATTTCCCAAGATAGTACAGATGACTCCTATTCCTCAGGCCTGTGTGGTATTTACTGATGGCACTTCATGTGGTTTTGCTGTGGTAGTTTCTGGTAACATAGTGAAGAGAATGAAAGTCCAGGGCACTTCTGCCCAGATGGCAGAGGTACAAGCACTGTTGCTTGCTTTACAGATGTTTTCTGATGAGCTTATAAACATATATACTGATAGCCAATATGTGGCACATGCAGTTATGCCTTTGGAGACAGCAGCCTACATACCATCCATCTCTCCCATTCATGAATACTTATTACAAGTGCAAGGACTCATATGGTCCCGCTCACATAACCTTTATGTGGGCCACATTAGAGCTCATATTCAATTGCCTGGACCTCTAAGTGAAGGTAACCAGAGGGCTGATGCCATTACTCATATGGCTGTCACATTAGTTTGTTCTGCCTTTGAAAATGCTACTCAGTTGCATCAACGTTATCTTAATGCTGGATCTCTTTGTCATCATACGGGCATAACCCAGGAACAAGCCATCCAGATAGTTAAATCATGTCCTATTTGTGCTGAATTTTTACCTGTTCCTCATTTGGAAGTTAATCCTTAAGGACTTTTACCTAATCATGTGTGGCAAATGGGCGTCACACACGTGCCTTCCTTTAGAAAATCACAAATATGTCCATATGTCTATTGATACATATTCCTCTCTAATTTTTGCTTCTGCCCATTCAGGGGAAAAGGTTAAAGATGTTAAGAATCATTGTCTTCATGCTTTTGCTTACATGGGAGTGCCAAAATGCAAAAACTGATAATGGTCCTGCCTACAGCAGTAAGAGGATTTTCAAAATTCTGCCAAGATTTTTTTATCGTTAATAAGATTGGTATTCCTTATAATCCTCAAGGACATGCTATAGTAGAACACTGCGATCGTACCTTAAAAACATATTGCTGCTGGACGGAGGTGGCGCACGCCTTTAATCCCAGCACTCGGGAGGCAGAGACAGGCAGATCTCTGAGTTTAAGGCCAACTTGGTCTACAGAACAAGATCCAGGAAAGGCGCAAAGCTACACAGAGAAACCCTGT